CATTGAAAAACAAGAAACTCATGCAATATTATTCAAAATGGGTGACTCTGGAGGACATTATGCTGAGTGAAGTATCTCAGTCACAAAAGGACAAATACTGCATGGTATCACTGTTGTAAAACAGGACTGACGTTGGGGTTGGGGAGGGACTGAAAAAGATGGGTTCAATAATGTATACTGCATTGAAACAGATGAGGGATAAAACTGTTTAAAAGATATATGTGATTAGGTTATTTTTGTCATGACAGGAGTCTAGAGTGAAGGCTACATGGTGGAGTGGACCTGGGGGAGGGTTTGTAAAATAATGAAAGACTTTGTCTTTTACTTTTCCAAGAGGGTAGTGGGTAGTGTACTAGGGGAGGGTTGGGAGGGGAGAAAAGTGCAACAATGAATGAATGGGGAAAAAATAGTGTCTGTTAATTTCTAGTTACTATAGTATGAAGTATTACTTAACGTGCCCTTCTTTGTTCTAAATAAAAGGAATTCTGGGAAATATTATTGAAAGGACTTGGTTTCATGTGACATATACTCAATGCTGCAATGCTCTGATCATTAATTTATAATGAGAACATTAATGCCTTATAAATATCTTAATGGTTTAAATTTTTTTAATTTGAAAAAGTTAAAGCTATAAGAAAGAATTCCTCAATGTAAGTTTTAAATAAAAATTTATATTTATAATACTCACATGGCAATTTACATTACCTTTTTATAGAAATTAATCCCATTTTTTAAAATTTCAGGACTTTTTAGAATGTGCTCATGAAGCCTGCAAAATACGTAATCTTCAGCCTGTCAAATTTTTTCTTGATAAAATAATTCAGACATATGAAATGATGATTGTTAGACATGGGTAAGATCATAGATTATACTTTTCTTCCTGGGTAGAAGTTATTTTTAATTTAACCTATTAAAACAATTATAATTTATAGAACAAAAGACTAATCAGGAATTGTGTTAAATAGTCTAGGGTTCAAACTCCTCCAATCCCAGTAATTTTTTAAAAAAACAATGGTTAATCCCTCTCCCATTTTTACCTAGGTTTGGTAAAGATTGGCTATTCAGCAATCTGGCACCAATGACCATCCTAGTCTACCCTTTTGGTCATCAAGTATGGTTTTTGGTTTTTTATGCATACAAAATACCTTCTCCTCTTTCAGGAGACAGCTTAAAAGTTCTAGTCAGTCAATGATAGAAACTCAATTATCAGGATCTTTAGGTAATACATGACAGTTTTGTAACAGATTTGGAACTTTTTCCTCATGACCAAGATACAGAAGAACTGTTGTTGTTGTTGTTATGTGCGGTCGAGTTGTTTGCGACTCATAGCGACCCTATGCACAACAGCCCTCAACCCTGCTCTATCCTGCGCCAACTGCACCGCCTCTGACACACCCATCCCGAATACCCCAGTCACCAAATTAATCCATCTCATAGAGGGTCTTCCCCTCCTGCGCTGTCCCTCCACCCTCCCAAGCATGATGTCCCTCTCCAAGGACCCGTCCCTCCTGGTAACATGTCCAAAGTATGTCAGACAAAGCCCCAGAATCCTTGCCTCCAAGGAGTTGTTTGGTTTAATCCTCTCCAAGATGAATCTGTTTGTTTTCCTGGCAGTCCATGGTACATTCAGTACCCTTCTCCAGCACCACAGCTCAAAAGCATCCACTCTCCTTCTGTCCTCCCTAGTCATTGTCCAACTCTCTGATACATAACAAGCGATTGCAAATACCATGGCCTGTATCAGGCGCACCTTAGTCTCCAGAGAGACACTGTTGCTCCTGAGTACTTTAGAGAGGTCCCTAACAACAGACTTTCCCATTGCGATACGCTTTTTGATTTCCTGACTGCTGGTGCCAAGAGTGTTGACTGTGGAGCCGAGCAAACTGAAGCTGTGAACAATCTCAATCTCTTCAAATTCAAACCTAGAGTTGCTGTAATCAAGGATGCCTTGGGCAGAATATTAAATGATCCAGGAAGTATTAAAAGAAGATGGAAGGAATATACTGAGTCTTTATATAGAAAGGAATTGGCAGATACAGAGGACAGAAGAACTAGAACAACAAATTATTGTCCCATGCCACACCCAGAAAATAATAGTGGAGCAGAACAGAATTAGTAGAACCAACACTTCTATTCAGAAATTGTTGAGCAAATAATTTGAGAGTCTGGACTCCATGAAGAAGAATATGGCATTAGGATTGGAGGAAGACTTATCAACAACCTGCATTATGCAGATGACATAGCCTTGCTTGCAGAAAATGATGAAGATTTGAAGCACTTGCTGCAGAAGATCAAAGAGTACATTCAGCCTTTACTATGAATTACATCTTGATACCAAGAAAACAAAAATCCTCACCACTGGAGATTGCCTGTCTTTCTCTCTTAGAGCAGCTGATAGATTCTAACCAGAGCCATGACCTGGGAGAAGCAGCACAATTTTTACTGACTCTGCCACCACAGCTCCCCATAAAGCTAGGGGAGTAACCAAAACAGTCTAGTATACAGACATAGAGGATGCGATTGAGAGCTTTGAAATAAATCCATCATCTGTGGCCAGCTAATTCTCTAGGAAAGGGCTAAGTCTATCCAATGGAAAAAGAATAAGCTCTTCAACAAATAGCATTGTGGCAACTGGGTCTTTAAATGCAAAGTGTTAAAAGCAGACTCACACATCACATCAGAAAAAAAAATTCCAAATGATCTAAAGACCAAAATATAAGAGCTAAAACCACGGTTCTAGTGACTTAGTGGTAAAGAGCCCTGGTGGCCTAGTGGGTAAGGAGATGTACTGCCAACCCAGAGGCACATAGTCAAATCCACAAGAGTGAGATGGGCAATCTTCTCCCATGCAATTTACAATCTCTGAAAACCTGCTGGAGGATAAGCCTCAAGTTGATTCTGACCCGAAGGGACATAAAACAACAAAATCATAAAACACTCAGAAGAAAACATAGGGGTAAAGTTTGAAGATCTTTTAGGCAATGAATTCTTAGATATGACAGCAGAAGCATAAACAATAGATGAAAATGTGTAACCTGGACTTCATCAAAGTGAAAAACTTTTGTGCATCAGGGATGTTATCCAGGAAATGAAAATATAACTAAGAGAATGAGAGAAAATATTTGGAAACCATGGATCAAATAGACATTTAAAACATGGAATAAACAAAGAATGTCTATAATATAAGATTAACAATAAAATTATAAAATGAACAACTAATTTAAATGGACATTTTACCAAAGAAGATATACAAATGGACAGTAAGCATGGAAAGATACTCAACATTATAAATGCAAATCAAAACTACAATAAGATACTCCTTCATACCTACTTGGACAGCTTTTTTTTTTTAAAAAAAAAGGAAAATAAGATATATTGATGATGTTGTGGAGAAATTGGAAAATTTATACATTGCTGATAGAAATAGAAAATGGTGCAGCATTTGTGAAAAAAAAGGTTTAGTGGCTCTTAAAAATGTTAAACATAGATTAACCATATGAATTACCAGTTCCGCTTCATGGATTATACTTAAAAGAACTGAAAGTAGTAACCCAAATATGTATACCAATGTTCTTTGCAGTCTTATTCACAATGGCCATAAGGTGGAGACAGCCCAAGTTTTCGTTACCCCATGAACAGACAGACAAAATATGGTATGTACATACAATGAAGTTTTGTTCTGCTATAAAGAGAAATGAGGTTCTGATACACACAACACATGGATAAACCTTGAAAATTCTATGCTGAGTGAAATAAGCCAGTCACAAAAGGACAGATATTGTATAATCCACAAAACAAAAGCCACCATTGCTACTGAGTAAACACTGACTTGTAGCATCCTCACAGGATGGAGTAGAACTGATTGCCCAACAGTTTCCAAGGCTGTAAATCTTCACGGAAGCAGACCGCTTTAGGTTCAAACTCAACCTTTTGGCTGGCAGCCAACCACTTAACTACTGTGCCATCAGGAATCCTGTATGATTTTACCTCTATGAAATGTCTATTGTTGCTGTTGTTATTACCCTTGAGTTGTAACTTACTCATAGCTGACTGTTCAGTGGGCTTTTAGGGGCAATTAATTGCATGGGAGGAGGTTGTTCATTTTTCTTCTGAGGACCAACTGGTGCACTCAAACTGGGTTAACTTTGGGTTAACAGTGTAACTCCTTACCACTAAGCCACATGAACTCCCTATATAAAAATATCTAGAATAGATAAACCAACCAAGATACAAGATTACTAGTCATCATGTAGTGCATTAGACAAGTCTGCTGTCAGAGACCTTTCCAAATTACTGAGGAACAGTGATGTCACTTTGAAGAAGAAGAAAATGTACCTGATTCAGTCTTTTTAATCACTTGCTATGCATCTGAGAGCTGGACAGTGAATAAGGATGACTGAAGAATTGATATCCATAAGCTGTGGCGTTGGAGAATACTGAGTATCCTATGGACTGCTAAAACAACAGGCTTGGGAAGGTAGAGGGTCAGAGAAAGATGGGAAGACCCTCAACTAGATGGATTGACACAGTGACTTACAGTAATGGGCTCCACTGTGTCAGAGATGAAGAAATAGCACAGAATAGAACAGGGTTTAGGTCTGTTGTTCTTGCTATAAGTTGTGCTGGACTCAGTGGCATCACCACAGGATAAGGACAAAGAATCATTTTAAAAAGAAGGGGGAGGAAACGGAGCAGTATTAGCACTATTTCCTTATTCCACATACAACACATTTCCTTAGTTATTCTAACGGAAGTGTTTAGTCAAATATATACTGTCTTTGGGAAAAAAATGTCACATTCATCATCTCTGTTCATTCACTGGAATTAGTCACACAATCTCTCCAAAGAGAGCCAGGAACCCCATGATGTGCTAAAAGAAAAGAAAACCAGAATTATTTGGCAAAGAACAAGTGAAGACTTGTAAAAAGAAAATTTCTTCCTCTCTTATCCTTTGAACCACCAAGTCTTAGTTATTTTAAGAGTAGACATATTAAGATGTCATTGTTTAAAAAAAAAGATTTCATTGTTACTTGAAAAATTTTTATTATATCCTCTTTTGTAGATTATCATGTAATATATACATTTTAATTTAGAAGTCAACCAGTTCAGAAGTTATAGATTCCTTATAGCTGAGAAAATGATCAGTATTTAAAATTGTGTGTCCCAGGATAAAATTTGTTGTGTCTGCATTTATGGAAAATATTTTCTTGATTTTAAGAATCCTACTGTATAATTTCTATTTTTTTCCATTAACAGTTTTATGTTAGTAGGGGAACCTTTTGCTGCTAAGACTACTGTGCTCCAGGTATTGGCGGACACTCTAAACCTTATGAATGAACGTGGTTATAGAGAGGAAGAAAAGGTTATGTATAGGATTGTAAACCCCAAATCCATTACTATGGGACAACTTTTTGGACAGTTTGATCCAGTGTCTCATGAGGTAACCTACAATTTAAACATTCTCAGTTTTTCTTTACAACATACATTAAACAAAGAAATTGTTTTTCATAGTTTTAGAGCTAACATCAGTTTTCTAAAGGGAACTTTCCAACTCTTTTTGTTGTTGTTCTCAGTGGACTGATGGTATCGTGGCTAATACCTTTAGAGAATTTGCCTTATCAGAAATACCTGACCGGAAATGGGTGGTGTTTGATGGTCCCATTGACACTTTGTGGATAGAAAGTATGAACACTGTATTGGATGATAATAAAAAGGTAAATCACAATGATTAAAAACAAAGCAGATAAAGGAATGTTTATGCAATGATATATGATCAACAAGTAATCAACTCTGTGTATTTAATATAAAGGAAGTAGCATAATCAATAGTTTTAGAAATAATTTATTTTAAAGGAATATGCATAGTATGCTATCTTGTTTTATCTTTTTAATAGAATAAATGTATATTATGTTAAAGCAACTGCCTTAAGAATAAGTCAGAGTAAGATTTTAAATAATAAGTGGTAGAAACTACAGCCTTAGGTTGCTTACAGAACTCCAAAGTATAATTTTAGGGGGAAAAAAAATGAAAGGACCTAAATCATTTTTTGAAACACCGAATGTTTATTTGAGTGCTTTTAGATAACATATTAACTCAGGAATTGTAAGCTATACAAACTTTTTACCTTTCATCACCATTGAGTTGGTACAAACTTATAGCTGACCCTCCAGTGGATTTTTGGAGGCTGTATATTGCACAAGAGGAGATTGCACAATTAAAACCACAATGAGATATCATCTCACTCCAGTAGCAGTGGCAAAGTTTAACAGGACAACAAGCAATAAATGGCGAGGAGGATGCTGAGAGATAGGAACTTTCATACACTGTTGGTGGGAATTGTAAAATGGTACAACCACGCTGGAAGGCAGTTTGGTGATTTCTCAAAAAGCTGAACATAGAAATTCCATATGACTCAGCTATTCCACTGCTTGGAATATACCATTACTGTTATGTGCTGTTGAGTTGCTTGTGTCTCGTAGTGACCCTATGTACAAGAGCCCCAAACTCTGCTCTATCCTGTGCCATCTTTGTTGTCTCTGACACACTTACCCCCATTTCCCAGTTACTAAAACAATCTGTCTCATCAAGGGTCTTCTTCTCTTCCGCTGTCCCTCCACCTTCCCAAACATGATGTCTCTCTCTCTAAGGACTTTTACCTCCTTGTAACATGTCCAAAGTATGTCAGATGAAGCTTCAAAATCCTTGCCTCCAAGGAGCAGCCCAGTTTCATGTTCTCCAGGATGAACCTATTTGTTCTCCTAGCAGTCCATAGTATTTTCAACACTCTTGTCCAGCACCATAGCTCAAAGGCATCAATTCCCTTTCTGTCATCCCTAGTCGTTGTCCATCTCTGATGCATAGCAAGCAATTGCAAAGACTATGGCCTGCATCAGGTGCACCTTAGTCTCCAGACTGGTGTTGTTGCTCTTCTGTACTCTGGAGAGGTCCCTGACAGCTGACTTTTTCAATGCAATTTGTCTCTTCCTGGCTGATGGTACCAAGAGTGTTGATTGTGGAACCGAGTAAACTAAAACTGTTATCAATCTCAGTCTCTTCACCATCCATAATGATGCTGCCAATTGGCCCAGTGGTGAGAATCTGTTTTCTTGATGTTGAGCTTCAATCCATATTGAAGGCTGCAGTCCTTGACCTTCTGCAGCAAGCACTTCAGGTCCTCCTCAGTTTCAGCAAGCAGGGTGTGTCATCTGCATAACGCAGGTTGTTGATGAATGATGCCACATTCCTCCTTGTACAGCCCAGCATCTCGGATGATCTGTTCTGCATAAAGATTGAAAAGTATGGAGACAGAATGCATCTCTGGCATACACCCTTCCCAGTTTTGAACCATGCAGTGTTACACTGCTCTATTTTAAAGACTGCCTCTTGGTTCACGTATAGGTTTCTCATAAGCACAATCAAATGTTCTGGGATTCCCATTTTTCTCAGAATCAGCCACAGTTTGTTTTTATCCACATAGTCAAAAGCCTTTGCATACCCCGAGAAAATTAGGACTGAGGGACAAATGCAGATTTGTACACCAATGTTCATAGAAGCGTTATTCACAGTTGCAAGAACATGGAAACAGCCCAAATATCCAGCCACAATCAAATGGATTGAGAAATTGTGGTGCATTCACACAGTGGAATACTATGCAGTACAGAGGAAAAATGATTTAGAAAATTACTACATTACTTAGGAAGGACTGAAAAACATTATGCTGAGTGAACTAAGTAGTCTCAGAAGGGCAAATACTGTATAAAGCCATTACATTATTGGAGAACTAGAAAGATAACTAGTAAAATGTGTATGAGGATCCAAGTAGGGGTAGGTAGGAGTAGAGGAGTGAGGGTGAGCAGGGAGGAAATCCTAGAGTTGTACAATTTGATGGGTAGAGGGAGGGATGGGTAAAGGAAATGGGAAAGATCCTGCAGGGATCTAGAAAACAGGGCAATGGTGGGCACATTTCAATTTTGACTAATTTAATAAAATATAGTGAAAGAGAATAATTGTATGAGATACAATGTGAATGAAGATGGTGGGAAAAACAATATATATGAACTTGGTAAGCAAACCAGTATAAACATTTTTTTTAAAAAATTAACAAAAAAGGAGGCTGCACATCTTTCTTTTAGGAAGCCGCTAGATATTAAAAAATCTTGCAAAATTAAATGCTTCTCATTTCTTTTGAGAGCTTGCATACATACATACACACATACAGTAAAGCATAAAAGTACACTGAAATGAAGTATAAATTCTTTATTTCTTTTTACATCTGTATATATTATATAACCATCATACAAAAAAAAAAAGATGCAAGAGCTTTCTATACCTTACAAAGTTCTCTATGTTCCTTCCCAACTGTAGACACACTTCAAAAGGCAATCACTGTTCTGATTTGTACTGTGATTAGTTTTTCAACTGTTTAGCCTCACATAAATGGAGTATACCATTTAGTGTCCAACTTTTCTCAGTGTGAAGACTAAAGTGTGCCTGATCCTAGCTAGAGTATTTGCATTTGCATCATAGTCATGTGAAAATTGGAAAATAAATAAATAAATAAGACCAACAAAGAACTGATGTCTTTGTATTGTGTTGGCATAGACTATTAAACATACCATGGTCTGCCAATTATTGTTGTTATGTGCCATCGAGTCGCTTGCAATTCATAGCCACCCTATGTACAACAGCCCTAAACTCTGCTCTGTCCTGTGCCAATCGCACTGTCTCTGACACTCCCGATTACCCCAGTCACTCAATCAATCCACCTCATAGAGGGCCTTCCTCTCCTGTGCTGTCCCTTCACCCTCCCAAGCATGATGTCCTTCTCCAAGGACCGGTCTTTCCTTACAACATGTCCAAAGTATGTTAGATGGAGCCTCAGAATCCTTGCCTCCAAGGAGCCACCCGGTTTAACCCTTTCCAGGACAAATCTGTTTGTTTTCCTAGCAGTCACAGCTCAAAGGCATCAATTCTCCTTCTATCCTCCTTGGTCATTGTCCAACTCTCTGATACATAGCAAGTGATAGCAAAGACCCTGGCCTGTATCACACACACCTTAGTCTCCAGAGAGACACCATTGCTCTTCAGTACTTTGGAGAGGTCCCTAACAGCAGACTTTCCCATGTCAATACACCTTTTAATTTCCTGGCTACTGGTGCCAAGAGTGTTGACTGTGGAGCCAAGCAAACTAAAGCTGTGAACCATCTCAATCTCCTGGTCTGCCAATAAAACAAATAAATCTATCGTCGAGGAACTGCAACCAAGGTGCTTCGTAGAAGTATGAGTCATGAAATTTTGTCTCATAGACTTGGGGTATATTCTCAAGAGGCACCATTCCTTGAAAAAAGGCAGGAAAATTAGAAGGTCAGAAAGAGAGAAGACCCTCAGGCAGGGGGATTAACATGATAACTCTTAATAATGGTTTTGAGTTTGTCAGAGATTGTGTTGATGGCACAAGATAGGGTGGGGTTCAGATCTGTTCTTCATAGGGTCACTGTGAATCATAGTGAACTTGACAGCACCTAACTACAACAACAATGCAGTTGAATAACTGAAATTTTAATTCAAATCAAATTTAGAAAGCTTCATATGACCAATGGCTACCATATTGGACAATTTAGCTCTGGACCATTTATTGGTTTTTATTTTATTAATTTATTAATTTTATAGCTAGGAAATGGATATTTAAAAATATTAAATGGTTAGTTACTGATGGTGTAAAACTGAGATTAGAGTAAAATTACAGAAATGGAGAAGAAACCTGAAAAAGAATTTAGGACTTACTAATTAAGTAAATTTGGACTTCAATTATTGATAAGAATTATTATCTAAAAAATTTTTTGTTTTCATACAATATTTGTTTCATTAGTGTACATTGTAATTTATACATTCTTTCATTTACATTGTGTTTTGTATATAGTATTTTGTATCATTGATTACTATTCATCTATGCCTAAAAGCACTCCGTCATTTGAGTCCCCGTTGAATCTTTGCTGCTCCTTCACCCTCTCAATCTGTCCACTAACCTCTGCTATCCTGGTGATTTCCATTCTTCCACTTTTTCCATCCCATCCTTCTCTTAATGATAATGATTATTAAAATGTAATAATTCTAAAGATATAAGCCAAAGAGCTTGAAAAAATAAATGCTTTCATCATAGCGAAAAGTACTGGAGTTTGAGAGAAGAGAAACAACTCACAAGTTCTGATTTTTGCCATATTTGATGAAAAAGGAACTGTTTTAGATTGAGACAAAGAAGAGAAACACAATGTATGGCCTTTAAATTTTCAGTAAATGAACTGAAAAGTTATTTCTGAATCAGCTGTAGAAATTTGAGTACTGAATGAATACTAGATAATGTTAATGGATTATTACTGTTAGGTGTGATCATGTTATGGTCATATAATAAGTGTTCATATTATTTTAGAGATGAATATTAATTTGGAAATGAAATGCCATTATATCTGTTGTATTTAAAACACAAGATAACAACCACAAAAAAAGAAAGCATTTGCGGCAAAATGTTTACATTGTTTAAATCTAGGAGATGAGTGTATTCTATGACTCTCTTTTCTATTTATTATTGATTTTTAAAGACCCCATGGCAACTTTATGAAACCAAGCCATTTTATGATATTTTGTGAATAATAATAAGAGATGACATTGTATAACATTGTACAGCTTTTGGCATAAGCCATGTGGGCCACCTTTCCTTGTCCAGTTCAATGAGAGAAACAGTATCCTGGTTATATAGATGAAGAGATTATAACTCAGAGATATTAAGCAGGAATGGCATCCACTTTCTAAATAGCTTGCCTCCGGAAACCCTATGAACTTGAAGAAATGATGAACATTATACAAGTGTTCAGGTCTTTTGTCACAGGGTCTCTATGAGTTGTTTAAGACTCGATGGCACTTGATAACAACAACAACAACTACGAGGGAGCTCTGTTGGCTTAGTGAATAGAAAGTTATGTTACCAAGCCAAAGGTAGGTGATTTTAATCTGGGTCCTCTGGCCTGGTTTTAATTGTTTTTCATCAAACATTCTTCTAAGCAGTATAGCACTTGTGGTTGCTGTGACACTGAACACTGTAACACTGATGTGTCAAATGTGATATTGGTTACCCATGGAAAACAATATTTGGTGGAGCTTCCTGATTAAAACAAGCTGGGGAGCAGGAGTGGCATCCACTTCCAAAATAGTTTGCCTCTAGAAACTATGAATGTGCAGAAAGGATGAAAATTATACAAGTGTTCAGGTCTTTCATTCATAGGGTTGCTATGAGTAGTCTACAACTTGATGGGACTTAACAATAACAGTGCAGGAGATATTTTATAAGTAGAGTTAATTTTTGTCTGAGAAGTTTGAGTTTTAAAAAGTATTTTAAAATTAATGTTTCAAAAATTATTGCCTTCAGCTTTGCCTTATGAGTGGAGAAATCATTCAGATGTCCCCTCAAATGAGCCTCATCTTTGAAACAATGGATCTCTCCCAGGCCTCAGTAAGTTCAAAATCTATTATAACAATGTTTTTCTAAAACCTTGTTCATTTGTTTATTCATTTTTTGAAATATTATTATTGCTTAGGCCCTGAGTTAGATACTAGTAATGTTGTTGTGTACCTTAGAGTCAGAACTGACCCACAGTTGGTTTTCTGAGGCAGTTAATCTCATGGGAGGAGATTGCCCATCCTTCTCCCATGGAGCAGCTGCTTGCCTTGAACCATGTGCCTTCAGGATTGCAGCACAGCTTCTTGCCACTAGGCCACCAGAGACCCCTTGATACTAGTAATACAAAGATAAATAAGACATGGCATATGCCTATTTGGGAGCTCTAGTGGCTTGGTAGTAAGGAGTTGCACTGGAAAATCAACTGTAAGTCATTTGTATCTGACAAGAAGAACATACTTTTTTAGAAGGATTGAGAAACATTTGAGTAAATAACTTCAATAGAGAATTACATGTAAGTATATTCTTATATGGAAGGGAAGAAGCACCCAAGTGGGGAATGGGTAAACAAAGCTCGTGGAGGGTGTTTGAATATTTGATTTGGTTTTGAGGGAGGAATAACACTTCTCCAGTGGGATTGGCTAAATTACTGTATTCATGAAAAGATGTCATATAGAGACATGAAGTCATCATGATATGTCTGGGTAACTGAATAGCAAATGCTTTTCCCCATGGGCTAATTCTGGTGTATGAGAAGTAGCCGGGTGAAGCTGTGGAGGTAGAGAAGCTAGATGACACCAAGGATCCTTATAGTTTATGCCAAGAAGTAGTTGATAGTTGTGACATGCCACTGGTATAAGAACAACATTGAATAAATGTGCCTTTTCCTGCAGCCTGCCACTGTAAGCCGCTGTGGCATGATTTATCTGGAACCTTCACAATTAGGATGGAAGCCACTTGTGTCTTCATGGTTGAATTCATTGACAGGCCTTCTTCATGAACCAGAACAACAAGCTCTTCTACAAGAACTTTTTGACTGGTTAATACCTCCCAGTCTAAGACTTCGGAAAAAAAAATGCAAGGTAACAGCAATTCTCTGACCACTCAAGTTTCTTTAGTTTATATTCAGCATGGCTTGAGTCACACTGATAGGGCAAATGATTAAAATGAGTTTCGCCTTTTAGATTTTGGAAGACTTAATGAATTAACTTTATTTCTCACACATAAACTGCTAGGTGGTGGCCACTCCTGGAGTGTGAGTCTTCTACATGGAGACCCTAATCTGGGTCTTTAGGAGCTGGTCAGTAAATTCCTGACAGGAAGACCCAGAGCACATAGTCTCTTTCCAGAGGTCAAGAGTCAGATAACTATAAGTCTTAGAGATGACATCAATGGTGGCTTTGGAAGGGAGCTCTGGTAGCCTACTGGCAAGAAGCTATGCTGCAATCCCAAAGGCCTGTGGTTTGCATCCACCAGATGCTCCTCTGGAGAAGGAGGAGCAATCTCCTCCTGTGCCAGTTGGATCCAGTTCAACAGTACACAACAAAGAAAAAAAAAGCGGGCTTTGGAGAAGTTACCCAAAGTGGCAGTGTACTCCCTGGGGAGAGCTGTTGTTGTTGTTTTTGTTGTTATGTCCCATCAAGTCACCTGTGACTCTGTGCAACAACCCTAACCCCTGCTCTATCCTGTGTCAATGTTATTGTCTCCAACACAATTACCCCCATTTCCCCAGGGACTGAATCAATAAATCTCATCTTCCTCTCTTGTACTGTCCTTTCACTCTCCCAAGCCTGACGTCCCTCTCCAAGGACTTGTCCCTCCTTGCAACATGTCCAAAGTATGTCAGATGAAATTTCAGAATCTTTGCTTCAAAGGAGCAGCCTGGTTTCACCATCTCTAGAATGAACATTTTTGTCCTCCTGGCAGTCCATAGTATATTCAGTACTTTTCTCCAGCACCACAGCTCAAAGGCATCAACTCTCCTTCTATCATCCCTAGTCATTGTCCAGCTCTCTGCTGTATAGCAGGTAATTGCAAAGACTATGACTTGGATGAGGTGCACCTTTGTCCCAGACTGACATCCTTGCTCTTCAGTACTTTGGAGAGGTCCCTAACAGCAGACTTTCCTGATGTAATTACTCTTTTAATTTCTTGGCTGCTGGTGCCAAGAGTGTTGATTGTGGAGACAAGCAAACTAAAGCTGTTAATAATCTCAATCTCTTCACCCTCTATCATGATGTTGCCTTTTAGCCCAGTGGTGAAAATCTTTGTTTTCTTGATTTGAGCTTCAATCCATATTGAAGGCTGAAGTCCCTGACCTTTGGCAGCAAGCACTTTAGGCCCTCCTCAGGTTCAGCAAGCAGAGTTGTGTCATCTGCATAATGCAGATTGTTGATGAATCTTCCTCCAATCCTAATGCCGCATTTATCTTCATAGAACCCAGCTTCCTGGATAATCTGGTTTGCATATAGATTGAAAAGATATGGAGATAAGACACATCTCTGGCATACACTCTTTCCAATTTTGAACCATGCAGTGTTTCCTTGCTCTGTCTCTGTTCTGACAACTGCCTCCTGGCCCAAGTATAGGTTTTGCATAAGCATGATCAACTGTTCTGGGATTCCCATTCTTCTCAGAGTTAGCCACAGTTTGTTTGTTTTTGTGCTCTACACAATCAAATGCCTTTGCATAGTGAATGAAACATAGACATTCTTCTGGTACTCCCTGCTTTCAGCAAAGATCCATCTAACATTAACTATTCTTAGTACCATAACCCCTTCTAAACCCAGTGTGCACTTCTCTATTGATGTACTGTTCCAGTGTTTTTGGATTATCATCTGCAGAATTTTGTTTGCATGGAAAATTAATGACATTGTTCAATAATTTCCACACTCTGTTGTATCACCTTTCATTGGAATGGGAATAAATATAGATCTTTTCAAGTTGGTTGGCCAGGTGGTTGTCCTCCAGATTCTTGGCACAGCTTGGTGAGCACATCTAGGGCAGTGTCTGTGTTGAAATATATCAATTGTAGTAGTCTTAAACCAGTGTCCTCTTCTTACACATTTATGTCCATCTTTGCCTTCATGCTAATTAATAGACAGATATCTCAGAGGTAAAATTTATCCTATCCATGTTCTTTCTATAAAACTTTAGAAACTAAATGCAAGTGTGTTTATTTGATATTTTATGGAAAAAATTTGCATATTAGTTTCAGGGCTACAGTAACATTGTCACAAACTTGGTGGCTTAAAATAACAGAAATTCATTCTATCACAGTTCTGGAGGCCAGACATTCTATAACAAGGTGTTAGCAGAGTTGAGCTCCCTCTGAGGTCTCTCACAGAGAATCTTCCCTTGTCTCTTCAGTTTCCTGTGACTTCCAGTGTTCCTTGCTTATGGCTACATAGCTCCAATCTCCACCTCTGTCTTTTTATCACCTTTTCCTCTGTGTGTGTCTTTTCCTTATGTGTTTCCTATAAAGTCAGCTGTCAGTGGATTTAGGACCCTCACATATTATACAGGATTATCTCATCTTAATGAAATCTACTCAGTCTTAATTATGTCAGCCCAGACCCTTTTCCAAATAAGGCCATATTGACAGCTTCTAGGAAATGGAACATGGACATGTCTTTTTGAGAGTCACCATTCAATTTTTTCTCTCTTCTTCCCTCCCTCTAATGTATATTAGTATATATTAATAGTAATTAATTCTGTATAATTAAGAATTATATTAATGTTATTAATTTTATGTAATTAAGAAGTATAATAATTAATATTAACATATTACAATATGTAATTAATTGTTGTGTGTATCATCGAGTCAGAACAAACCCATAGATGACTCTTCAGTGGGTTTTCAGAGGCAGTTAATCACACAGGAGGAGGTTGCCCATCCTTCTGCCACAGCAGAGTGGCTGGTAGCCTCGAACTGCATGCCTTCGGGAATGCAACACACCTTCTTGCCACTAGGCCACCGGGGAGATATCTCTCTCTCTCTCTTTCTCTCTCTATCTCTATCTTCTCTTATCTTGACCATCTTTCCCTCTTTTGTTGGCTAACTCATCTTTTTCTTCCAAATTCAGTGTTAGCTATTATTTCCTCTGGGAAACCTTCCTTGTTATCCTTCCTTTTTATCCTTCCCTCTTTCTCTCCCTGTCTGCCTCTCTGAGTTTAGGCTAATTGTTCATCCCAGATACTGTAATAGTCTCCTCCCCATCTCAACTTGGGATCCTCTGCCATGTCATTATTAGACAAGTTATTTTTGTCTACTTAATTTTAGTCTTTGTTTTTTGTGTTCTCATTCTGTAGCTTGCTCTAAGGAGCACTTGTGTCTTAATGCATTACTTGTTGGGCCCTAAGATGCCTGATGGAGGTTGCCTGAGTGTAATAGTCTCAGTTGTCAGGCTCAGTTTTACTTGACATATAACATGTTTTTCCATAAAGGCTTGTTGAAAAATTAATGAGTAAATGACTGTAAGATGTTAATTTCTACTGTCCCTAGAACATTGCTTTTTCTCTTACAACAGCTAGTTTTTATTTGGTCAGAGCATTTATAATAAGAATATGTTAGGTACAACTGTGTAACATAATGCTCTAAACGAAGATATCTGACAGATACTGTGCAAATTTTTTTTACCATGTCTATAACTTAAATTCTTTTAATGTTAGTAAGATCTTATGAAGATCACTTTGCTGCTGTTCTTACATGCTTTCAAGTCACCTGCTGCCTGTAACGACCCTATGTACAGCAGCTCTGAATCCTTCCCTGTCCTGAGCCAGTCTCACTAATTCCTACACACTAACCCCTATTATCCCAGTCACTGTATCAATCCATCTCATCCAGGTCCTCCTTTCCTGTGCTGTCACTCCACCCTTCCAAGCATGATGTCTTCTCCAAGGACTGATCTCTTCTGGCCATGTGCCCAAAGTATGTGAGATGGAGCTTCAAAATCCTAGGCTCCAAGGAGAAACTTGGTTTCACCCTCTCTAGGACAGAGCTATTTTATTTGTTTTCTTGGCAGTCAATGAAAATCACTTAAAATCACATATGCTTTTTATGTTTTATATAATAATATATCTTTTATTCTTCAACTGAGATGAAAGTTAAAGAAAGTGTCTTATTCTTTCTCTTTTGCAGGAACTGATTCCTACTAGTGATAGTAATGTGGTTGTCTCTCTCACACGCCTCTTTGAAGTCCTGCTCTGTCCTGTGTTAGAAAATGAAACTTCCAGCAAGCACATTCATGTCTGGATTATGGTTAGTTAGTTTTATACTTAATGTAATTTTTAATTACAGGGTAAAATATGCCTCTGGAAAATTATATTTGTATTACAAAAGACATTATGGAGCATTAGACAGAGATCTGTTTTCTGGTCTACCCCAAAGATCAGTTCACCTAGTATTCTGATATTAAAAAATACTTTAAAGAAATTAAGTTATGTCAAGGTGAATCACAACCGCCCTATTGTATATGAAAGTTGGTAATTTGATAAACACTTAAGGAAGTGATCTTTTATTAGATCAATATCAACTTAGAAGAAATTTACTTAATATTAATCAAAGATGGATTTGAAAGACCAGATATGTGTCCAGCCAGCTAGATGAAGTATTACAGGCAGAATCTGTGGAAGACACAGATATGGAAAAGTCAGTAGTCTTGTTTATCTAGTTTAGGAAGTCAAGAAAGGCTAGCAAATGTGGCAATCTTGTTGTAGTTAGGTGCCATCAGGTTGACTATGCTCATAGCAACCCTATGAACAATGGACCTGAGCCTTACCCTATCCTTTGACCTCCCCATGCTCTCTGATATGCTGGAGCCTATTGTTTTAGTCACTGTAATTCCATCTTGCTGAGTCTTCCTCTCTTTTATTGACCCTCACCCTTCCACCCTTCCCAGCTTGAAGTTGTTTTCCAAGGACAGGCCTCTCCTAGCAATAGGCCCTGCCAACTGGCACCTCCCGTCACATGCCTGACAACTGACTGGATGAGATCCATATTTGTTCCCATTCCCCAAAAAGGTGATCCAAACGGCTGTGAAAATTATCAAACAATATAATTATCACATGCAAATAAAATCTTGCAAGGATATTATTTGAAAAATTACTGCCAGAAATTCAAGCAGCATTCAGAAGAGGCCATAGCATGAAGGGTATAATTACTAGTGTCAGGCTGGTCTTTGCTAAAAGCAGAGAATACTAGATAGAGGTTTATTTGTGTTTTATTGGCTATATGGAGATACTTGACTGTGTGGATCATGACAAATTATGGATAACATTGAGAAGAATGAGAATTCGAGAACTTGGCATGAGTTATAATCAAATGTCAATCAAAAGAAAGAGGTTTTTTGGTTTTGGTGTGTGTTTTTTCCCCCCTTCCCTCTAGGTCATATAACCCTGCTGTACAGCAGTAACTTGTGGTTGCTGTGAGACTGAACACTGTGACACTGATGTATCAAATGTATTAATGGCTGGTTACCCAATCAGGACAGAGTGGGGTGGAGCTTCCTGATTAAAACAAGCTTGGAAGCAGGAGTGGCATCCACTTCCCTAACAGCTTGTCTCCGGAAACCCTGTGAACCTGGAGAGAGGATGAAAGACACCCAAGCGTTGAGGACTCTCCTTCATAGAGTCACTATGAGTTGCCTGTGACTCAATGGCACTTAACAACAACAACAACAATCCCTGGTATATGCTCTACCTCCGGCTCCACAAATTATTTTTAAGTCTCTGCATCTCTTCCTCTACTCGGACTACATTCTGTCCTCTGTGGTAGTAGATGCTTCTCCTGTCATTTTCTCTTCGCTCTGTTGACATAAGATCTTCAATTCCACATGTCTCACTTCCAGAGCTCCCCACTAACTGTAACATTTTACCTTCTTCATCTCCCCTTCCCACTCATTTTCCTACACTTGAAAACAAATTTAACAGACATGCTACCTTTTGATAAAATAAAAGTGTCCTAGGATTTATTCCAACATGGATTGCCATTAAATGATTATGACTCACAGTAAACCTCTCCTGGGTTTCTGGGTTGATAAATGGAACAGGAAAAGACTGCCCATTGTTTATCTTGGTGGAGCCGCTGGTGTATATAAACACCTCAGAAGCCCAGATTGTTGGGTTAACAATGTCACTCCCTATGGATTAACCTCAAAGTTATTCCCTACTCTAGAAATAGTCCCCTAGATAACCTTCTTTTTAGCTATTTCCTGGAAAATGTCTTTTTGGGTTGTGTTGGGTTTGGTGTGTTTTTTTTTTAATAAGCTGCAAACATTTTTGCAAATGTTAGAATAATTTTGAGACACCTACATAGATTAATGGATTGGCACAATGACATAGCAGAGATTGGGAAGATAGCACAGGATTGGACAGGATTTTGTTCTGGAGCCAACTCTATAGCACTTCACAAAGACAATGTCGATGGACAACTGATGGGGAAAATTCTTCTTTTAAAACATGTTTGCTAGATTTGGTTTTTCACTGTTGCTATTAGTTACAGTCAAGTATGGTTCAAAACAACCCTATGAACAACAGATTTGAAACTTATCCTACCCTGTGCCATCCTCACAATCTCTGACACATGTGAGCCCATTGCCTCAGTCACTGTGTCAATCCATCTCACTGAGGCCTCTCCTAGCAACATGCCCAAAGAATATGAGAAGTTTCACCATCCTTGCCTCCAAGGAGCATCTTGGCTGCACCTTTTCCAGGACATATTTGTTCTGTTTTGCCTGCCTGAGAGGGATATATTTGTGGATAAACTTCTAGAAGAAATTCCCGAGCAGCTGGTATGCACTTTACATTTCATTTTACATTGGTATTGCCACAGAAATGATTCTGTGGAACTTAGCTGTGAACCTTTCTACATTATTTAGAAACAGAGTATTTTCCAAGTAGACAAAGATTTTTGTTTTGGTTTGAGTTGGGTTTAAAATAACTGCTTTAGTGCAACAATGAATAAATGAAAACCCAAAATCTCTGTAAATGTTCATTAAAACTAATAAAATTTAATAAAAAAAATAAAATAACTGCTTTACATGAACTTCCTTTTCATTTTCTTTGGTGTTTTTCCCTCCTTTATAGGCTTGTTTTGCCTTCTCTTTGATCTGGTCTGTTGGGGCGAGTTGTGATACAGATGGTCGCATTGTCTTTGATAATTTCTTAAGAGAAATCCTAATGGGAAAAAATGAAACGAACCCAGTGCCAAAATCTCTGGGTAAATGGGAATGCCACTTTGATGAGAAAGGCTTGGTCTATGACTACATGTATGAGGTATGGTGTATGATATTAGTAAGATAAGGTACAAAGACTTGGACCCACTGATAAAACTCCTAGGTTCTTACCCTAAAGTGATTTTAATGCCTCTGGTGAAATCCTGAGTCCTTTTCTTATCTTTCTCCTCTTACCATCTGGAAGAGGTACAAACAAGAATGTATTTTTTTCATGAATATGACTTTAAGAATATTTTCTAATTCAAGATGTAAATGAAATCTGTATTCTCTATTTTATAAAACAATTCACAGAGGTTATTTTAAACTGCAAACATTTGGATAGTCATTTCATTCATAAAAATTTTACTTCAAGCACATTCACATAACACTTTTGCTTAAATCTTAAATTTCAAAGATCAAGAAGCAAACCCAGAAATGCTAGTGGATAACTTAGCCAGAAGGGAACTCTGATAGCTTAGTATAAAGAATTGTACTGCCAACACAAAGCTACCTGGTTCAAATCCACCAACTTCTCTGTGGGAGAAAGGTGAACAGTCTCCTACCATGCAATTTACTGTCTCTTAAAATTCAGTAGAGGGTCAGCTGTGGGTTGGTTCTGATCTAGTAGTACCATGAGTGCAACTCTTCAGACTGCCAGTGTAGTACTGTTTCCCCCCAAAAGGAAGACTACATTCAAGTTTTAAGAGTATGACTAGGAGGGGAGCTCTGGTGGCCTAGTGGCAAGAAGCTGCAACTACAATCCCAGAGGTGCACGGTTCAAATCCACCAGATGCTCTGCCGGGGAAGGAGGGGCAATATCCTCCTGTACCATTCAGATCTGATTTGATGGTACACGCACACAAAAATAATAAAATTAAATTAAAAAAAAGAAAAAAAAAGAGTATGACTAGGAAGAAAGTTTCATCTTCATTTGTCAGAGCGGGAAACCAGTGAAGTAGTCTCTAAACCTGAAAAAGACAACCCCTGCATTGAAGGTAAATGCCAAAATATTCCATTTAAAAGAGATAAAAGTGTTTACTGCTGTGAAGAGGAAAATGAAAATAGGGAATTGTGGCTTTTCTTAACCTTGTAGATTTTTTTACTCCAACAAAATAGATGCGTATGTAATTTTTATAAAATAAAAGCTAAATATTTTTTTAAAAAATTAATTGCTAGAGAAACATTCATCCAAACTAGCAAAATCATCACTCAGACACACACCATTATACAATTTGCTAGAAAATGAGGTAATATTCCTACATGCCATCTATAGTGCTACAATTGAGTCTTAGAGACCTTTTTTTTCTTCCAAGTTGTTAACCCTTTTGCTACTTTATAATGTGAAACAATCTGAAAATATTCAGGGAGGGGCCTGGTAAAACTGGGAGAGGCACATGGATTGAGACAGGGAACGAAGGCGCTGAAGGGTGTGAGCAGCTGTGTAACCTCTGGTTCTGAATGGTTCCAGTGTTATTTCAACGTATGCAATTATGCCTATATGTCTTGGCTGAATGGCTCTAATTACCAAAGAGAATTATTTAAGAGACCAAATATAGTAAGCTTTTGTGACATTTTGTTTTCAGTTGGAATATTGCTTACTTCCTTTAAAATGGAAAAAATTTGAAGCCAAGCCTGCTAAATTATTAACTTGCTATATCAAAGTAGCTTTCAAATAAAAACTTTTATAGGCAAAGGGACATCTTAAAGGTGTTTTAGAAAATTAGAGTTTTAAAAGGATATAACTGAAAAATTCTATGACTTCCAGGATAGGTTTTGAATTTGTGCTTCAGTTTATTTTTAAAAATAAATATCTAAAGAAATATATGTCTTTCTCAAATAGGAGGTGCTTTTTAATGAATCTTATTCTTTTTATATTAATTTTATTATGTTACAATGTTATTTATCTTCTTTTGTATGAATCTACTATTTTGTACCAGAAAGGAGAAAATAGTAAAAGTTTTAAAAGCTAATGTGATAATAGAATAAACATTGAAAAATCCTTTCAGATGTAACATGTACATAATTGTAATATTTTAAAAATTATTTTCTTTTGCAGCTAAAAAACCGAGGTCGTTGGCTCCATTGGACTGAATTGATTAAAAGTACTAATTTAGGAGATAAATACACCAAGATTCAAGATATCATAGTCCCTACGATTGACACAGTTAGATATACTTTTCTAATGGACTTGAGTATTACCTATTCAAAGTAAGGAACTCTGCTTTCAATATGTGTTTTAAATTTAATAATACCATTCTTACAAGATCATGGACATTTTTACTTATAATATTTATTCATCTACTAATTAATAGTATTAGTTCTGAGTGCTCCTAAGGTATTAGACTAACCATGATGCGTCTTCTTCCAAGGCACTAAGCATTCTTCCTATGTGTCCTAAGCCAGTTTGAATTCCTCAAGATGAACACAAAGAACTTAAGTTAGAACACAAAGACATAAGTTAGAAGGCCATATAAAAAAAAGGAGTATATAAAATTGATCAAAAACTTAAGTGTATTAATACCAACTTTCAATATCATATCAGTACCAATATAGATTGAAGCGCAACCTTAAGAAAACAAAGATTCTCACTACTGGGCCTATTGGCAGCATCATGATAGATGGTGAAGAGATTGAAATAGTTAACAGCTTCAACTTGTGTGGTTTCTCAATCAACACTCTTGGTACCAGCAGTCAGGAAACCAAAAGATTAATTGTATTGGGAAAATTTGCTGTCAGAGATCTCTTCAGAGTATTGAAGAGCAACGATGTCTATCTAGAGACTAAGGTGTGCCTGATCCAGGCCATGAGCTTCACAGTTACTTGCTATGCATCAGAAAGTTGGACAATGACTAAGGATGATAGAAGGAGAGTTTATGCCTTTGAATTGTGGTGTCAGAGAAGAGTATTGACTATACCATCGACTGGTAGGAGAACAAACAGGTTTGTCCTGGGGAGGCAAAATCAGACTGTTCCTTGGAGGCAAGGATCTGACATACTTTGGGCAAGTCCCTTAGAGAGGGACATCACGCTTGGAAGGGTGGAGGAACAGTGCAAGAAAAGAAGACCTTGGATGAGATAGATTGGCTAAGTCACCAGGGTAATGGGGATAGGTGTGTCAGAGACAATGAGGTTGGCTCAGTGTAGAACAAGGTTCAGAGCAGTTGTATACAGGGTTGCTATGAATCGCAAGTGACTCGATGTCACATAACAACAAAGATTGCATTAACTTTATTATTTATTTTGACGAGAAAGAAAAGCAAAGACTATAAAATTCATTGAAGAATAGCTAGGAAGAACTCTAGAAGGCCTAATTGACAGCAAGAACAGTCTTCCAAGCATAATGAAAAACCTACAACCAGAAGAGACCAAAACAGGATGAATCAAATCCTTATGTACAGCAAAAGGCTGCATGAACTTTTTAGCCTCGAGACCAGAAAAACTAGATGTGCCCTGCTACCACTGCTGACCATTCTAAAAGAGATCACAGTAGAAAGTCCTGGATAGAGCAGGGGGAAATGTTGAGCAAAACTAAAAAAAAAATATAAAAAAGGCCAGGCTTACTGGTCCAGTAGAGACTTATGTAACACGCATGTCTATGGCCCTTTGAAACTAGAACAAAACTCATTCCCATGACTCAACTTGCAGCCAAAAAATAGATCTCTGGGATTAGAGGCACACCACCAAGTAGGTACTAATTCCCTAGAATAACCAATCCTATGAGGTCAAAGTGCAGCATTTGCCAAGTGATATATCTCAGAAGACAGGAAGGGTGGGGTAAGGAGAAACACTGGGAGGAAACAAAAGAATGCAGCTTATATTGTGGGCCACAGAACAAAATGTGTGTGAGTAGGTGAATGAAAAACAAATATGCTATGTAAACTTTCACTTGAATCACAATAAAAGGAAAAAGTAAGGTTTAAGTTTTCTACTAACTCTGGTTTCCTTTAATAGAAATGTATTCTAACCTGTTCATTGTTTTTGTAAAGGCCACTGCTTTTTGTGGGTCCAACGGGTACAGGAAAATCAGTGTATATAAAGGATAAACTAATGAATCACTTGGAAAAGAATTTGTACTTTCCTTTTTATGTCAATTTCTCTGCAAGGACCAGCGCCAATCAGGTTCAGGTTAGTGTCAGACCCAAAACACAGGCCTATAATTATTCGTATTTTTGGTAAGTGTTTAAAATAGTATATAAAATGAGCAACTATTTAAATCTTCTAAACATTTAAATAAACTTTAAAACATTTGTTTGAGGCATTGCCAACAAGTTTTAAAGTTAGTTTTAATGACAAACATTTTAGAACCTGTTTTTGCATTAATATGGAGTTGAGGTTTGTTGTCCCTTTTCGCCCATTTTCAAGCCTAGAAAGAAGCAACCATTGATTTTTCAACTGAATAAGGGAGTATGTGTATGTATGAGTGTGTGTAAGAGAGGGAGAGAAAGAGAGCACACTCATAATAGATAAATTTCAGCTGTCTTTCTAGACCCTTACATGATCCTTAAGGAAGTTTGTTGCCTACTATAACTGCCAGTGAAAGAGCTTTCAAATCATAGGCTAATGTGTGACCTATTATGACAGAACAGAATAGCTGTGATGACATCCTTCACCCTCAAATATGCTGTGATGAAAGTGCTGCGTGAGGCCTTACTAAAATAATCACCTTTATAATTCATTCATAAATTCATACTGTTCTATTCTCTCTTGATCTAAAGGGCCTTATTTCTTTTGTTTCAAGCTTACAGAATGCCCTTAACTTAAATATCTTACAGGCTTAGAGCTTCTTTCTTTCTTTTTTTTTTAGAGCTTCTTTCTTATGGACCTTTGTTTAAATGAAAAAAGTAAAATTGTATTGGTTTTTGCAATGGGCGAGGAGCTCTAAAATTGTCAGATATACGAAAGCACCTAAGTCTATGACAGTTTTAAATACTTGTTAGAGGTTGCTCAGGGAGCTCTAGTAGCTTAATAGTAAGGACTTATGTTGACAATCCAAAGGATGAAGTTCAAATTCACTAACTGCTCCACAGGAGGATGGGCAATCTCCTCCCGTGAGATTTACTGCTTTTGTAAACCTACCAGAGGGTCAGCTATGGGTCAGTTCCAACTCAATGGTATGTAACAACAGCAACAAAGATTGTTAAGATTTGTGCTATGGCTGACTCTGAGAAGAATGGGAATCCCAGAACACTTGATCGTTCTAATGCGAAACTTATACTTGGACCAGGAGGCAGTCGTCAGAACAGAGCAAGGGAACACTGCATGGTTCAATATTGGGAAGGGCGTACCCCAGGGATGCATCCTATCTCCATACCTTTTCAACCTATATGCAGAACAGATTATCCGGGAGGCTGGGCTCTATGAGGAGAAATGTGGGGTCAAGATTTGTGGACGATTTATCAACAATCTACGTTATGCGGATGACACAACCCTGCTTGCTGAAACTGAGGAGGACCTGAAGCGCCTGCTGCAGAGGGTCAAGAACTGCAGCCTACAATATGGATTGAGGCTCAATGTCAAGAAGACAAAGATTCTCACCACTGGACCAATTGGCAGCATCAGGATGAATGGTGAAGAGACTGAGATTGTACACAGCTTTACTTTGCTTGACTCCATAGTCAACAGTCGTGGCACCAGCAGCCAGGAAATTAAAAGGCACATTGCCATAGGAAAATCTGCTGTTAGGGACCTCTCCAAAGTACTGAAGAGCAATGGTGTCTCTCTGGAGACTAAGGTGCGTCTGATACAGGCCATGGTCTTTGCAATCACTTGTTATGCATCAGAGAGTTGGACAATGACCAAGGAGGATAGAAGGAGAATTGATGCCTTTGAGCTGTGGTGCTGGAGAAGAGTATTGAGAATACCATGGACTGCTAGGAAAACAAACAGATTTGTCCTGGAAAGGGGTAAACCGGGTGGCTCCTTGGAGGCAAGGATTCTGAGGCTCCGTCTAACATACTTTGGACATGTTGTGAGGAGAGACCGGTCCTTAGAGAGGGACATCATGCTTGGGAGGGTGGAGGGACGGCGCAGGAGAGGAAGGCCCTCTATGAGGTGGATTGATTCAGTGACTGGGATAATTGGGATGGGAGTGTCGGAGACAGTGTGATTGGCACAGGACAGAATGGAGGTTAGGGTTGTTGTACATAATAGGGTCGCTATGAGTCAGAAATGACTCGATGGCACATAACAACAACAAGTAGAGAGATGGAAATAAAAAGAGAAATGAGAAACCACCTCACTTCAGCAGAAGTAGCAAAATTTAACAAAACAACAAACAATAAATGTTGAAGAAGGTATGGAGAGATTGGAATTCTTATGCACTGCTGGTGGGGTGTAAAATGGTATAACTGTTATTGAAGACATTTTGATGTTTGCTCAAAAAGCTGAGCATAAGAATGCTGAGTTGTTAGGATTAAGTGCCATTGAATCTCTTGAATCATAGAAACCCAATGCACAGCAGCTCTGAACCCTGTTCTATCCTGAGCCATATGATCTAGCTATTCCACTGTTAGGGATATAGCCAAAGGAAATGAGAACTGAGACACAAATGGACATTTGTACACCTACGTTCATAGCAGCATTACTCACAATAGCAAGAGAATGGAAATAGCCCAAATGCCCATCAACAAATTGAGAAAGTGTACATTCACACGATGGAATATTATGCAACACTAAGGAACACTAAGGGACAACCCTGCTTGCTGAAAATGAGGAGGACCTGAAGCACTTGCTGCAGAGGGTCAAGGACTGCAGCCTCCAATATGGATTGAGGTGCATCTGATACAGGCCATGGTCTTTGCTATCACTTGTTATGCACCAGAGAGTTGTACAGTGACTAAGGAGGATGGAAGGAGAATTGATGCCTTTGAGCTTTGGTGCTGGAGAAGAGTATTGAGAGTACCGTGGACTGCTAGGAAAACAAACAGATTCATCCTGGAAACGGTTAAACCAGGTGGCTCCCTGGAGGCAACGATTCTGAGGCTTCATCTAACATACTTTGGACATGTTGTAAGGAGGGACCAGTCCTTGGAGAGGGACATCAATCTTGGTAGGGTGGAGGGACAGTGCAGGAAGGGAAGGCCCTCTATGAGGTGGATTGATTCAGTGACTGGGGTAATCAGGATGGCTGTATCAGAGACAGTGCAATTGGCACAAGACAGAGCAGAGTTTAGGGTTGTTGTACATTACTTAGGGTTGCTATGAGTCGCAAGTGACTTGATGGCATATAACAACAACAACAACAAGGAACAATGATTCTTAAAATATTATATGACTTGAGACTAGCATTATGCTGAATGTAATACCTCAGTTATAGAAGGACAAATTATTGTATAAGGCCACTATTTTGAAAATAGAAGGATAACTGAGCAAGATATGTATAAATGTTCAAAAAGGAAAGGAGAGAAGGGGCAGAAAGAGAGGAAAAGGGAAAAATTACTGGGAAGGCAGAGGTTAGTGAGTAGAGAGGATGAAGTAATTGGGAAGATTCAATGGATACTTGAAAAGACAGGGTGATAATAGGAGTAGAGCATTGGTAATTCATGATATAAAATATATATGAATGATTGTGCTAATATGAAACTTATACTTGGACCAAGAGGCCATCGTCAGAACAAAGTAAGGAGACACTACATGGTTCAAAATCAAGAAGGGGGTCCGTCAGGTATGTATTCTGTCTCCATACCTTTTCAAT